CAGTGGTTTTTTTTGGTTGACACTGCATGGTTTGACACTGCATGGTAGGCGGCATTAGACTTTTTTTTAGCAGGCCACAGGGATTGTCTCGATCACCTCAGAGGAAATCGCTTTGCCCTCTTGGGCCTTGGTTTCCTCATGCGTAACATGAGATGGATAAACCAGATCATCTTAATGATCCCACCCAAAGCTAAAGGTCCCTGGAACTTTGGTTCCATGTTTTTTTTTTTCTCCCCACCTCTTGGATCCATCATGGACTCTTCCCTCCCATCACTCTTTTTTTTCCAGTACATGAGCATGTGCTGTCAGTTCTAATTTCAAAGTAGCCCATTTTTTTTTCCTCATGACCATTATAATTTCCATCACTGTAATTTCCCCTAGATGTTTTTTTTATCCTCTTTCTCTGCTTCCATTCTTGACTATTCGCTGCCCAATTCATTTTCCTCATAGCTTCCCAGAGTGGTATTTTAGCATGTAAATCAATCCTTCCTTTTTTTTTTACTCTCCAATGTCTTCCCATTATATTTAAAGTAAAACTCTAAATCTTTTTTTTTGTATGGGGCCGCACATAATCTGGACTCTGCCTATTTCTCTGATGTTTTTTTTTTCCCCTGTTCTCATTCACTGCAAGCCATATACACTGCTCACCCCTTCTTTTTTTTAAAGCAGCTAAGCTCTTTTCCCTCTGAGAGGCTTTGCACATGGCTATTCTGTCTCTCTGCTCTGTGCAAGCCTACCTTTTTCTTACCTATCAGCTCCTCAGAGAAACTGTCTCAGAACTCCTTAAGTCAGTCCCCTGTAATTCAACTTCCCTTATTTTTTTTTGCTACAGTAGGGTCATTTTATTTGTAGCACATCACAATTGCCTGTTTTTTTTTTGTCTTACAGCACTATACTTGGCAGCTCCTTGAAGCAAATACTCCCTTTTTTTTGCTCCTCATTGATATATCTTCATATTCTCAGCACCCTGCACCATGCTTTTTTTTTTGTGGACAATTAGCAATATCTGTTGAATAAGTGAATGAAACTAGCTTTTTTTTGGGGGAAAGGGTGCAGAAAAGAAAGTTGAAGGAACTAAAAATACATTTTTTTTTTGATGGTTTTGTCCCTCCTTTAGTTTATCTCTTCTCAAAATGTTCCTTTTTTTTGGAAAAGGCATCTAAATATCTATTAAAAATAGGTCATCAGATGCAAGAAGCAGGTCTTTGAAGTCAATTCACAGGTGGCATTTTAATCTCACCATCAGCCTAATGCAAAAAATTGTAATCTGTGATGACAGCTAAACTGAATTTTAACTTTGGATTTTTTTTTAGCTTACACAAACCCAATTTCTCATATAAGTATTTAAAGGAGAGGTTTTTTTTGTCTTTAAAGCATTTCAGGCGCATTTACTAGCCTATGTCATTGAATTTTTTTTTCATAGATTATTTATCCACCGTGTAAGTGCAGAAAACATTGACTTGATTTTTTTTTGGCCAATGCTGCCGGCTGATTCTTCCACAGCCATCCCCACCCTTCTTTTTTTTAGGCTAGCTAAGTTCTTGCCTTACTGGCCTTCCTTGCCACTATGAGTGATCATGCGCCACTGTTTCTGACTAAGGAGAGAGAAGCAGCCATCAGCTGCTGTTTTTTTTAGTACTCTGTTAAGCTTCTTCTTCTTCCTTTTTTTTTTTTTTTTTGTTTTTTTTAGCTAGAAATGGCAACCCTTCTTCCCCTTCTTGCTGCTTGAAACATGCACACGATATCTCGGTGTAGCCATCCTGTGAATATGAGCAAATGCCAATATAATTTTTTTTCAGCAGATCCTGGTTTCATTGAACATGAGCTACTGCCTGCTTCCACTTTTTTTTTAATGTAAGAAAGACAACTCTTTATCTATTCATATTCTTGTGGTCAGATTATTGTGTTAATTGCAGGCAAGCACATTTAGCTACATTTTGTTGGCTTTGATTTTTTTTCATTAACATGAACTTTGAAGAGATGAAGAGATAAAGCTACTTGTGTGTGAGTGTAGATACATGTAATTCAGATGGAATCTAGTTTCTGAAAATCTAAATTTTTTTTTTTTTATGCTATATTCTTTAAGTAAACAGCAAGAACAACTAACTGAAGTTTTTTTTGAAGGATATTTGATATATACAAGCCCTTTAAATCTCTTCCCACCATTTTTTTTTGATTGTCTGACACAGTGCTCTGCATGTCAGAGGCCCATGAAACCTGGCATGAGACAAGCAAAACAAAACCTTCTGTTGATGTTTGTAGTCTCTGGCTCTGATCACTGTCTAAGTGTCCTTGTCTTTTTTTGTATGGCCCTAGTGAGATGAAGTATTTTTTTTTTCTCTTTAGTGTATATTTCCAGGATACACTGTGATGTTACTCTGGTTTTTTTTGGGTTTCTATAGGCCCCTAAGCTCTGGGATTGGCCAGGGTAGGCCTGATAAGGAAAAGTCCACCTCAAATAGATAAAACTTATTCTGGAAGGTTCACTCTTTTTTTTTTCAGTCCCTTTGATCCAAAATTTCAAATCCTTCTGCCCAGTTCCTGTTTTTTTTAGACTCAGGAATCCAGGTGTTGCTGGTCTTTGGAGTGAACCACTGGCTGTTTCTGCTTTGTCTCTGGACTTCCCAAGAAGGGAGAAGTTCAGTGGCTTTCTTTTTTTTGGGAGTGCCTTTTCTTCTAGTGAAGTTGAGTGGAAGCCCAATATATTTTTTTTTTAAAATAATAAAAAATGGCATCTGTTTTATAGTGCTTCCTGGATATTTTTTTTTGGGTTCTATATGTATCATTCTATTTTAAACCTCACAACAATACTTGTTTTTTTTACTATTCCAGTCTACCAGTGAAAAAACAGGCAGAGAGTGGAGGTGTTTTTTTTTAGATTGGGAGGAAGGAGGTTGGGTTGGATCCTGTTCAGTCTCCTCTTTTTTTTTGTGTTGGTTCCTAAGATACTCTACGGGAACCCTCAGAAGGCCTGGATTTTTTTTTTGATCATCCTCCCGCAGTCAGAGGTCACAAACTCAAATACCCTCCTTTTTTTTAGCTGAGTAACAAGGGAATGAAGGTGGTTAGCTGGGGGCGTCGGTGCAAAGGGGGATAACGGATCAGCTGAGGAGGGCAGCTGCCATGCGGCTGTGCACAACCATGACCAAATTCTGTGCAGATCAAATAAAAACAGGCCTGGCCGGGGATTCATTTTTTTTGGGCCACTGACTTGAGACCTTGGGAGGAAGGGTGGGGAGTATGAAATTTTTTTTTGAGGTCAGACCACACTCGGGTGAACCATTAGGAGGTGAGATGCCCATGGAGGAAGGAAATAATGGAGAACAACAACCCCTGGGTCTTTTTAGACACGTGTTTTTTTTGATGGCCCTACATTATACTGACGAGTTAAGAGTCATTTCTTTCCACTTTTTTTTTACTGGCTGATTTATTTTTAAGCAAGTCCTTCCCCTGCTTGGTTCTTTTTTTTTTTCACCATGTGTTTGCCAGTATTGGCCAAGCATCCAGTCTCACACCTTTTTTTTCACGCACCCCACCCCCCAACTGTCTTCTTATTTAAAGAAAAACAAGTTTTTTTTGGTGAACAATGAGACTACCTAAATTATACAGCAGCCAAAATGAATCTTTTTTTTAGCTCCTTAGGAAGAATTTTATTCCATTGCGACTTAGGAATATTGGTTCTCATTGACTCTCAAATGCAGAACAGACAGGTGGTAAAGATGCCTCCAGCACTTTTTTTTGAGGCCTTAATATTTATGCAATGCCCCCAGAGGGTGACAGTGTGTGCAAATCTATTCACGACAGCCACGTTGTAAGTCATGACGCCCTGTGTGCTTTAGATTTTTTTTAGTCTACAAGGGACTGCCTAGCGGAAAAGGAGTTCATAGACAGTGATTTTTTTTAAAAAGAAAAGGAAATATAGTCAGTGCTTGTGTGTCAGGTAAATTGGAGGGGATTTGTGGCATGAACATTCCAGAATTTAGTTGAAAGAACATTACACACTTTTTTTTGAGGTCAATAAATGTGGGACTTGGTCCAGATTGGAAAATTTCAAGTTTTTTTCACGTCCCCTACTTTCCATCCTGCCTTCTTTTTTTTTTCTTTCTTAGCTTTTTTTTCACTTTTTCCCCCAAAAGAAATAGTATTCACAATCTAACATATAAAACAGACAAAAATGGAACTACTCTGGTTTTGTGGGCAGGGGGAGGGGTTGCAACTCACTGATTTGGGCACCCAAGTTCTCTCAGTGCAGTATCTGAGGCACTTCTGGGAAACCCCAGTTTTAAAACACAAGAAACAAATTTACATCACCACTAGAACTAGATTTTTTTTTTGGTCTGTCTCAGAACTAAGAAAAAGAGAACCTTTTCTCTTAAGATTTTTTTTTTCGAGGTCTAGTAGGGCCAGGTGGCCTGCTCAGGGCCATACAGAGCATTTTTTTTCCAGTGCTGGGACCCACTCATAGTTCAGTGCTCCTTCCATCACTTAGAAGTAGTATAGGATGGTGGTCCGAATCTCAACTTACCTAGCTACTAGCCCAATTTTTTTTTCAAGATTCAAAATTTATATGGTTCCTCATTTATGAAAGAAGATGCAGTGAGGGTCTCACCTTATGCTTCTGTGAGGATTCAGTAAGATAATGCATGTATGTTTTTTTTAACCTTGCTTCCCATCTGATAGGTGCTCACTAAATGTTAGTTGTACCATACTGTCCCTCACCCCTTCTCTGAACCTTTCAGCTACAGAACATCAGACTTGTGATTATGCCTGTTAATCCTGACAGAGCACATCAATCAGAGAGCAGACAGAGCTTTTTTTTTCACAGGAGGCATCCAGATAATTGAGAGCATACACTGGACAGCTGACTTTTTTTTATAGTTGAAAAGCTGAATACAGTAAAGTCTGGAAATAATTCCTCTCTTTTTTTTTTCCAGTGTTTGCTTTTTTTCCCCCGAGAAAAATATAGCATTGAGCTTTTTTTTTGAGAAGAGCTGACTGACCTGGGAGAAATGTCACATCCTTGTTGCATTTTTTTTCCCAGGGAGAACCACAGACTGTTGAATATCCCAAACTCATTGGACTGGTCACTGGTTGTCTGGTCCCGCCCTTCCTCAAACTCTTCACTGTGCCATTCATTTTTTTTTAAGCGGCTGACCAGGAAAAGGACGACACTCACTCCAATGTAGGCAATTTTTTTTCACATCCAAATCTCATAAGCCAAAGGATCGAGGAAGGAGAAGACCCTTTTTTTTGACTTCTGTGGCTTTTTTATCATGATGGAGATCCCCAAACTCATAATTTTTTTTGAGAAATCTATCACCTCTTCCCGGACCAAGGTGATAGTTAAAGGAGTTTTTTTTACATCGGCTCTCTGCAAAAAAAAAAAAAAAAAAAAAAAAAAAAAAATTTTTTTTAAAAAAAAAAGAAGAAGAAGAAAAAATGCAGTTGAGCTCAGCAGCTTTTTTTTTTCTTGTTTCTCTCTCCACTGAATACTCTTTTGCATCTCAAAGGATGTTTTTTTTGAAAAGAACCTTAGAAGTCTAATCCCTCCTACTCTCTATAAGGTATTTTTTTTTAATGAATGATCAGCTCACTATCTTACAGGAGGGATTATCCCATTGTTTTTTTTTTCTAACTGTGAAGGCACCTTCCTCACATTACTGGAGGGGGATGTTGTGATATCTGTTGCTTCTGCCTGCCCAGCCGCCATACCTCCTTCCACCGCTGGAATTTTTTTTCTGCCCCACTCCTAGTCCTTTTAGTTCAAATGGGGCTGATCACCTGGTTATGTGGTGAAGCACATGACCTGGGTTTGGCTATCAGTACTTCATTTCCCTGTTTTTTTTGATTCATTCAAAAATGGCATAGGACCAGGGTGCCTGGGTGGCTCAGTTTTTTTTGCAGCTGCCTTTGTTTGGCTCAGGTCATGATCTCAGGGTCCTGGGATTTTTTTTCAGGGAGTCTGCTTCTCCCTCTCCCTCTACCCCTCCCCCTGCTCATTTTTTTTTTCTCTCTCAAATAAATAAATAAATAAATAAATAAATAAATAAAATCTTTTTTTTATGGCATAGGACCCAAGTCGGTTTAATGAGCATTAGCCCTGAGAGTTTTTTTTTGAGATGCAGAAACTGGTCCATAATATAATTTGGGCCATGCTAAATTTTTTTTTTACCCTGGACTCCTAGGAAAATGGGTTAATATATTCTGTTTGTCTCCAGGAACATAAACCAAACTTTCTGTTTGCCTAAGCCAGTTTGGATTGGGTTTCTTTTACCTGCAGCCAAGATATCCCTGGCTAATAAGGTGATAAAGGCAAATTTAACTCAATAAACACTTATTGGACACTTATTATGTGCAAGCCCTAGGCTGGAAGCTGTATTTTTTTTATGGTCCCTACACTCAGGTCATTACAAATTAGTAGGAGAGGCTGGTTTTTTTTTCCACCCTCCCCAACCCCAGCCGCCCACACACAACTTCTCAGTCTACTTTTTTTTCTGGATATGTGCTATCCAAGAGATATAGAATGATACAGAAGAAAGATTTTTTTTACATTAATTTTGGCTGAGGAGATTAGGGGCTGCATCATAAAAGAGGTTTTTTTTACATTTGGCATTGAAGGAGGGGTAGGATCTTGTTGCTCTGGCAACAGTACACATTCCAGAAGGAGGGAATCATGTGAGTGAAAGCCTTGCAGAGAGGAGGTTTTTTTTGGTGCGTCACAAGTATTTTTCAAGAAGACTCCTAAGAAACATAGTTTTTTTTTTTTTTAAAAATTCAAATCCAGCATGTAGATAAACATGAAAAGGTTGGTTTTTTTTCTCATCCTTGGACATCCAGCATGTGTAATCACCAGCCTTGCTCTTTGGTCTTCCCTCCCTCTCTCTATTAACACAATAAAAATGAACTGTTCTGTTGGCCTTTTTTTTAGAGATCCCGGAATCCCAAGAAGGTTCCATGGACAGGAGCCACAACTTTTTTTTTGGAAATGAGAGACACGTCTGTGCAAGTCTGTTCCAGGAGGATGGCTTTTTTTTGGGCTCTGGGGCATCAAAGGTAACTCTGGTTTCTCTCATGATGCTGCACTGCAGTGCAGATGTGAAGCTGGTGACAGATGCTGTGCAGATGAGGACCCCGCTCAGCTGCTGGCTGGTGTTGCATAGACAAGATTTCCTCCAGTTACTTTCATTGGCTGGGGTTTGTGAGAAGGTGCTTTAGGTGGAATCAAAAGCCTGGCTTCAGAATGACTTAAATTCTCACCTAGAAAAAGAAACTTTCCATAAAGCAATGTAGAATCAGTTTTTTTTTTGATAGTAATTCTGTTCTTTTTCCTAATAACCATTGCATAAATCTTTTTTTTTATATATATATATATATATATATATACACACACACACACACACATATTTTTTTTTTTTCCCCCAAACACTTACAAGCTAGTGCAAGGGAGAAGATACCTACTTTTTTTTCCATAACCTAACATCTAAAGAAAGACAGAAAAGGAAGGGAGGAGAAAAGTCATGGAAATAACTTAGAGGTACTACCACAAGTTATCCAAAAGGGAAGTGATTTTTTTTCAGCTTTGAAAGTGGTAACAAGAATTGAATGGATTTGTTTGATGCCTTTTTTTTTGAGTTAACAAAAGGAATTGCAGACTGGAAAAATCCTAGCAGCACATCATCTTAGTGCTTAGTTCATTCAGTGATTCCAGGAATAGTTTCATGGAACATGTTTTTTTTAAGGATGTTAATAAGCACAACATGAAAATAAACATTGGAAAACATGTTTTTTTTCAGGTTACTTTGGGGCAAGACTTCTCAGAACCTTTAAAAGATCACTTTTTTTTTAGAATTTCCAAGAGACGTAAGTAGATGCAGTACTTCTAAAATTATCTTTTTTTTGATCCTGAGCATCAAAAGAGACCCATGTGTGTAGGACACACACACAGTGGGAGATGCTACATTCAGTGACCTTACTTTATAGAGAAAAAACTCAGGTCCAGAGAGCAAAGGGGGTTTGTGCAAAGCTTCAGTGTTTTAGCTTGTTTGACATTGACTGAGAGGTCTGGAGAGTTGTTTCAAACACCTGAGGTTGTTCCTGGAGCTCTGCAGGATTGGTGAAAGGCAGAGCTCACTGGGAAAGCATACCCGCTGCTCTGCTCTGTTTTTTTTTGACCACGTGGCCTGAAGTGAGACCGATGTCTTTTGGGATATCAAATTTTTTTTATTCCTCATTTAAAAAAAAAGAGGCATAATAATTTTTGCTTAACCTTTTTTTTTGGATGGTTTTGTGAGGATCAAAAGAATTCAAATATGTGAGAATACTGTGAAGTGTAAGCATTTCACAGAAACTTAAAATTATTTACTTAAACTAACTTCTTAGGACAGTGGCTCGCCAAGTTGAGCATACGTCAGAATCACCTGGGGGACTTTTTAAAAACACAGGTGGCAGAGTTTCTGGATCTGAGAGAGTGATACCTGAGAGTTTTTTTTTTTAATAAGTTCCCTATTGATGCTAATGCTCCTGGTCCAGACATCACATTTTTTTTTCCACTGACCTAGGAGCGCCCCAGACAAAATATGTGATGTCTGGAAATTTTTTTTGGGAGAGAGTAAACAGTTTTGATGCTGTAGGTAAAAGCAACATGCGTTTTTTTTCATAAGGGATCATAAGGGACAGAGATTGACTCTGAGCCACGCACTGTTTTTTTTAACTCCCCACCCCAGTCCTGGGATAAGGCATTCACCTTCCCTGTTTTTCAGGGGTTGAGTGACCTGTAGGAGTCGTGTAGCCAGTAGGCAGAGTTGGAACTTTTTTTTAGGTGTCTGTCTGCAAAACTCACTCTATTTCTGCTTCGCCAAGACAGAGGACAGGCAGAGAAGTCACCTGTGAATCGAGCCCAGAGCCATACCCATGCAATTTTTTTTAACTCCATTTGCAGCATGTGGTGTCAGAGAATGCAGACGCTATTGCTTTTTTTTTTCCCAGTTAATAGTGGCCTTACAGTCCAGTGCTCGGATGGTATGGTTTCTATAGAGGCAGTAGGACCCAGCGTGCAGCTGAAAGCAAGGCTACATGTCACAGCTCTGCTTTTACTAGCTGTCCTTGGCCAAATGACCCACCCCCCACTGGGGCTTTTTTTTCTTATCTATAAAATGTGGAAAAGTAATTATATATATCTTATGGGGTTGTTAGGAGTATGCAAAATAACGTGGGTACAGCATTTAGCGTGGCACCTGGCACTTTTTTTTGTAGTAAGGCTACTACTACAATTTTTGATAAGAACAAGGGGGAGCATTTTTTTTATGGGAAACCTTGATTGGCTTAGCTATTTAAAAGGCACAGAAAGAATAAATTTAGAGGCCTCTGAATGAGTTTTGTCCAACCTTCTGGTTGTTTATGGCTGATAGGTGCTTCCTTAATCTCCTCTATTCTTCCTCAGGGAGACAGAAAAAGAAAGCCAGACCAAAAATCAAGGGCGAGTATTGAATTGGGCCCATTGTGGAGTCTTCAGAATACAGTTTATACTGCGCAGAAAGATAGGCCCAATGGAGGGGAGAGGATGGATTTTTTTTGATGGGCCCTGGGACATCAAAGGTAACTCTGGTTTCTTACGGATGAGTCAGTGGCCCATCACTGACTGTTGGCTACTGCGGAGCTTGACATCCAGAGGATTTTTTTTTTGTTCTGCCTGAATCACAGGCCTTTTGCTAAGGGAACTGCGTTCCATTTTTTTTGGGTGAAGATGAATGCTAGTGGAGGTTCCCATGGAAACCAGCCTCCAGATGCAGCGTTAACCACCTAGGTCTCTGTCATCAGTGGAGCTTCCGAAGGTGAGAGAAAGTAGAGGGAGGAGAAAGGGTAGAAGCACATCTCCCCCCCCCAACTCATTTTTTTTTTTACCAGGTCATCTCAAAAGCCACTTTCCTGGGGAAGATTTTCCTTTTTTTTTTTCTCCTTTGAATTCCCTTTGTGTGGCTCTCAAGGTCATCCTGACTCCTATTGTCCTGATATGGGATGATGAGATTTAACCTAAATGGTTGCTTCATCCTGTTTTTTTTCTCAACATCAACCTGGGACTCAGCATATGCTTCTGTTCAGAGACCCTTTTTTTTGCCTTCAATTTCTGCACAATTTCCTGCAAGTGGTGGCCTTTTGTTGTTTTTTTTCTCAAGTATCTTCATCATATCCTAGTGCCCACTGAATCAATCCACTTTTTTTTTTGTCATTTCTTACTCAAACGTAGCCCTGACTACTCAGTCTGAGCTCTTTTTTTTAGTAACGAGTGTTTTCTCACTCTTTCTTACTTCCATCCCGAGAAACTCCTGGGCTGCCCTTCCCTCTATTTGAACATGGCCACTTTTCAGGTTCCATATCCCTCCTGAGGGCTAGACAAACTCATGTTAGCCTCTTGCCTGATCCATGAACTATTTTTTTTTTTACTATCCTCTCTCATTGTATTTTCTATCCTATAAAATGTTAAGATTTTTTTTGACAGGGATCAGATCTTTTACTTCTTGGTGATTCCTTAAATACTTATTTTTTTTCAGGCATTCAGTGGCTTCTCAAAACTGCTTCAACTTATTGAAGATTTTTTTTTTATTGTGCATGGTGTTATTTCAAATGTAGTGAGTGATATAAATACAGTTTTTTTTACTCCTATTACACAGATAACTATTATACAAGGTGGGGTTAGCCATAATAGAAGAAGAAACTAAATCCTGCAGGGGAAGGCAAGAGCACTTAGAAAGGGGAGTTTATACCTATTATGCGGGGGAAGGAAATGACACCTTGGAAAAAGCAATATTTGATACAGATTTTGGAGGAGGGACAGGACTTTGGGGGTGCTCAATAGAAGGAAGCACTCTACAGAACAGAATCACTTGGGGTAGTTTGGCAAAAGTGGAAGGTACAAGATTTTTTTTATTGGGGTGAGTGACTAGAAAGTTGGATTGGATCCAGGATGCATCTAACCCCAGTGAAGAAATTTACATGGCGGGGCCATAAGTGACTTTGAGCAGGGAAGGGGCAACTTAGCAGTCTGCCTTGGGAAAACTGGATCTGAAGTTCAGGGATCACTTTTTTTTGATGATCATCAACCGAAGTCATAAGAGTGAGCTGAGTTTGGCTGAGCAAGCTGGGACCAGGAACCTTGAGCAAAGAATGTCTTAAGATAATGGATTTTGATTTTTTTTTCTTTTTGGCAGCAACAATACTAAGTTAAGGGGTCCAACAGTATCTTTTTTTTTGGCCAGCCAACCACCAAATGACTTTCTGTCAAATCCTGTCTCTGCCCTCCAATTCCCCACCCCATGGAGAACTTACTCCATAGACAAGCTCTCCCACCATGCCGTTCCAAGCCTTGGTGTCAGGGTCACGGGCTCCATATTTTCCATCGCTGACAATCTCAAGACGGTAGGAGTAGCCCACATGCTTGGCAATCTCTGCTGCCAGCTCTACACAGTAGCCCTCGTAGCGGTCATTGCCCTCAAACTGGTTGGCATTCTTCTTGAGCATCACATAAGGATCTTCCTGGTGGAGAAATGGGGGGAGAGAGAACGTGGGTTTTTTTTCCACTCAGAGGTAAGGAGGACTTTGGCCTGGCAGAGGAGGATTTCATTTTTTTTGGTTAACTTTGGAGAAGTCTCTCTAAGTCCCTAAATCTATGTCCTGTTTTTTTTCTCCCTCTATTACAAGACTTCTTGGGTTAAGGAAGCAAACTCTTAAAATAAGAATATTTCATCACTGAGATGTAGGGCTCAGCTTTTTAAATTATGTTCTTTTTTTTTTTGTACTTTTTGGAGGTACCTCTAGGCGCACTATGGTGGGAAAGTATTTTTTTTACAGTCTCCAGCTTTCTCGTGGTCAATCACTGAGAATGGGCAGCAGCTCCACTTAAAGTGGATATAAAGCACCTAGAGTTATGGGCTTTAGGAAACTTTCTTTGAAAATGGCTTCTACTGAGGGAATGTAAAGTCTGAGAACCACCATAATTCAGTCTCACCATTATGTTTTATATATGGGGAAACTGTGGCTCAAAGGAGGGAGTAATTTTTTTTCCCAAGGATACAAAGTGAAATCATGGCAGAGCCAGACTGAAAACAGTTTTTTTTACTTCTACCTTTTTCCACTCCCTCTTTCTACCTATGGGACAGTTTTTTTTTTTTGAGTGACCACCTTTTGCTCTGGGGAAAACCTCTGTGAGGGTTTAGCTTGCATCCCAGATAACCTTGATGAAGGACTGGGTACTCACTAGGATTGTAGTGACGATGTATGTCCTATTCTGGACACTTGAATTGTCCCCCCCGGCTTGAGCATCGGTTTTTTTTGGGACAAACTTATCATCTTCATTCCAGTAACCAATCTGTTAAAGAGTTTTTTTTGGTGACATCAGATGAGCCAGGTTCCTCAGGACTGGCCTACTGTGGACCACCCAGCCAACACCAGACCAAAAAGCAAGGGCCTCAGCATCACACCATACAATTTTTTTTACACCAGGCTCTAAAGTATTGGTAGATAAAAACAAGGAGAGGTAAATTTTTTTTCAGGTCCTCCCAGCCCCACCCTTACGAACATCCTCACCATGACGGGTTTTTTTTGGAAATTGCCCCCTTTGAGCGGGGTGGGCTTAACTGTTAAAGCAGCTTTTTTTTTTTGTACAATGCAAGCCAGGGCTGTGGAAATTGAATTCCCTGCAGTTGTTTACAGGTCAAACCCCTTTTTCCTCCCTGCCTATTAACCCTTCTTTTCCTGTTTTTTTTCTGAATGGTAGTTGGAAACATACATTTTAAAAATTATATTCCTTTTTTTTTTTTTTTAGATTAACTGTATTTTTCCATCTAGATTTAACTTCCTAGGTGATGGTTATTTTGATCATTTATATCTCTTATTTCTAATTATAAACTATTATAATACTTTTTTTTTATTAGTGCCTAAAAATACTGGCTGAAAACATTATTATTATTATTTTTTTTTTTGTAGGTTATTTATACTGGCTCATTTTCCAAGGTCTTTCAGCAAATATTTTTTTTGTCCCTCTTGTGTGCAAGGCTCTGGGCTAAAACACTGGGAGTATTGTGTGGCGGGCTGAGAGAGATACAAAAGTCTAAGAGGTAGTCCTTGCTCCTGAGATTTTTTTTAGCCTCTTTGGAAAGAGATGACACATGCAACACACGAGATCATGAAGGATGGACAGGTTGGGCCCAAGCCTTTCAGGTTGGAGAGAACTTGAACATGTGTCAAGATGTGAAGGCTGCACTCTGCCTAGATCCGTAAGTTCAATGGCTCCTGGGTAGAAGGTAGGGTTAGCCCAACAGGGCAGCGGGCATGTGGGTCTGGGTAGCAGATTTTTTTTTAGGCCAGGCTAAACAGTACAGACTTTATCCTGAAGGCAACAGGGAGTTTTTTTTGGTTTGGGAAGAGCAGAATGGTATGGCTAATACATATATACACACATTTTTTTTCTTCTGTCTCTGTCTCTATTTATCGTTAGACAGTTGTGTTCTGTTCTTTTTTTTTTCTGCTGCCTGTAGATGTAGGGTAAGGGAAGGAGAACTGGAAGTGCATATGCAGAGGGATGAGCAGACCTCCCACACGCCAGAACTCAGCTCAGGCTCCCAGAGTTGAGGCACGGGCCAGTGGTCAACTCAAATAGCACCGTCACCTTGATGTTTTTCCCTGTTCCCTCGGTTGGAAAGAAGCAATTCTCTCTGCGATCTCACTGCCTTTTTTTTCAATGATGACAATTGCCAACACTGATTATGTTCTTGCTACGTCAGATTTTTTTTGTTTTAAAGTTTTTGTGCCATTTCATTTGGCTTAAGGGAGTTTGTATTTTTTTTAAGGTGATGCAGCTGGAAAGTGGCTATGCTGTTCTTGCTACCAGGGTTTTTTTTTCTGGGTTGGGAATCATCTTAGTTAACAGTTAGTGAGTGCTTCCTGGGTTTTAGGCACTCTCCTAAGTGTTTTTTATGTTTTAACTTCTTCCATCCTCACTTTTTTTTATGAAGTGGATACTTAATTATCATTCCCATTTTAAATGTGAAGAAATTTTTTTTTGGAGAGTCACAGAGCCAGGATCTGAGCCAGGAAGACTTGACTGCAGGGCCATTCCCTATGGTGCTCCAGGAAGCTGCCTGCCCACCCTTAGTGCCCCAATTTTTTTTCCACTGGGGATCCCCTGTAGTCTGGCTGTTTGTATGTCAGTCCCCATTTTTTTTCAGTGCTGTGGGCTCCTGGTAGACAAAGCCAGAGGTCCCCACTGGCTTTTTTTTCTGGCTGTTTGTATGTGCATCCCCATCTCTCCACGGTGCTGTGGGCTTTTTTTTGACAAAGCTGGAGGTCTATTCGTTCTAGAATGCCTTTCTTAGCACATTTTTTTTTTTCACAGAGAAGCAGCTCGGGAAATGTTTGTTAAGAGAAATGTGTACCTCCAACATGGAGACAGTAGACCCTGTCGGTGCTGAGACAGCTCAGAGGCCTGTCTCTAGGGACACTGTGTCAAGATCTACCTTCAGTGCAGGCACATGCACAATGTTTTTTTTGTGAGGCGCTTTTAGTCAGCATTGAAGGAGACATTTCTCTTGTATGACACAAGCACCAGCAACAGATTTCCAGAATGTCAGAGCTGGAAGAGGCATGAAGTTTTTTTTCTTCCAACCCCTTCCTTTTTTTTTTTTTTTTAATTATAATGCATTATTTTTTTTAGGGGTACAGATTTGTGATTCATCAGTCTTACACAATTCACAGCGCTTTTTTTTGTACATACCCTCCCCAATGTCCATCACCTAGCCACCCCATCCCTCCTTTTTTTTTCCACTCCAGCAACCCTCAGTTTGTTTCCTGAGATTAAGAGTCTCTTTTTTTTTCCCCTTCCTTTTATAGAGAGGGACCATGGGACTTGTGCAAAACCAGTTTTTTTTCTCGCCTCCCTCACTTTGCTAGGCCAGTGCTCCCTGGAAACCCGGGGCATCTGTGGGTACCTTTCCCCACTTTCATGGGAGGTGGGTGAGGGGTCAGGAAGTGGTTGGGGGGAGAGCTCTGGGTTCCTCATCCCTCCTTCAAAACAGTCAGCTCTTTTTTTTAGTTCTTTCACATATTGGGATTCCCTTTAATAAGGAGCCCTCTGGCTTTTTTTTTTTAAAACCACTACTGTAGTAGATCACTATGCAAGTTTTTAAAAAATTTTTTTTGTACTTTCACAACATTTAACTCTTGCTCTTCGTGACATGCAAATAGTTTTTTTTGGCTTGGGATTATTTTCTCTGTTTTACAGATGGGATAATGGAAGCTTTTTTTTTTCAAATGATTTAACTTTTTTTTTTTAAATTTTATTATGTTATGTTATTTTTTTTACAATACATCAGTTTTTGATGTAGTGATTTAACTTATACGGATTATTTTTTTTTTTAGTGGCAGGGCAGAGAAGCCAGGGCATCAACCTCAAAGGTTAGATTATTTAATATAATCAAAACAAACTTGGGAGAGGGGCTGGCAAAAGTCATTTTCCCCCCCACAGATGATGCTAAGGGGTTTTCATTCCCTTTTCCTTTCTCCTCCTTTTTTTTTTTCTCCCCCTTCCCTTCCCTCCCCTTCCCTTCCCTCCCCTCCCCTCCCTTTTTTTTCCCTCCCCTCTCCACCCCTTCCCTTTCCTTCTTCTTCTTTCTTCACTTTTTTTTGAAGGTTTAGCTGCTCCTACTCACACTGTCAGTATAGAGCAAGTTGCCTCTTTTGACAGGCAACTAATTTCTCTAAAATCTACAGTGTATTATTAGGTATTTTTTTTTAAAGTGGGGGCTTGATAGTCAAGACATTAATCTCTGGCATAGAAAGACATGGTTTAAGAGATAGACTCTCCTAATTACTAATGTTAGGGCCAGTTACCTGACCTCAAGGGGCCCTAATTCCTGTTCTGTAGAACAGATACATCAAAAGTATCTGTTTTTTTTATACAGAGTATCTGTCTCTTGGGGCTGCTGAGGCTTAAATGAGTTATTTTTTTTACAACAATGAGCATAGTGTGTGGCTTATATTGAGTTGTCAGTAAACTAAAAAATGATTTCAGTTGGATATTGCCTAGTTGAAGACTAACAAGTTTCTGTGGTATAAGACATTTCAGGATCAATTTACTTTTGAAATTGTCAATCTCCAAAAGAATTTTTTTTTATAGAGCATTTCTTAAATTCATTTGGCAAAGTAACCCTCTTTACATTTTTTTTGTTCTAGGGTAAATGCTCCCCAAACCACAAAACATTGCTCTAAAATCCAAAGTTATTTTGATAAAGGCGGGGGGAGCAAGATAAATCTGTGTAGACCAGATTTTTTTTGCTTAGAAAGAGACTTTAATTTTTTTTTTAAATCATAGGTTTTTTTTTTTTTTTAGATTTTTATTTATTTATTTGTCAGAGAGAGAGAGAGAGTACAAGCTTTTTTTTCAGCAGAGGGAGAGGGAGAAGCAGGCTCCTCACTGAGCAAGGAGCCTTTTTTTTAACTCGATCCCAGGACCCTGGGATCATGACCTGAGCTGAAGGCAGATTTTTTTTAACTGAGCCACCCAGGCGCCCCGAGACTTCAGTGGTCCTTCAAAGCTAGTATCATGGCACTAGTGTTAAGTTGGGATCTATAAAAATGATTGTATAGCTTGGCTTATATAGTTTCTTTGATATCAAAAGCTAGAGGAATAGTTAAATGTTGTAATTTTTTTTATTTTATGTAGAGAAATAAAACAATATTGCCAGTCAGAAGAGCGGGTTTTTTTTAAAACCCGGCTTTCACCTCGCATAAGCTAAAAGGCTGAGAAATCTGGTTCCACCGTTCAATGAAAAGAAAGCTGGCAAAGATTTTTGAAGAGACACTGCATTTTTTTTATGAGAGCAAATTTCCCTTTCTTAGAGAAATGGGTTGGATTATTATTTTTTTTTTTGATTCTCTACTGAGGATATGCAAGATCTTTGATTCCATCTGAAAGAAAATCAGAGCTAGTGGTTGGGTAAAGAATGGGGCCCACTATTCAGGAGGGGATTTAAACAATTCTAACACTGAGAGGTCTTCTCCTGGGGCCAGTTCTAATTTTTGATCTCCTGTTTCCATCTACCTCTAAAGATTCTTTGAATGTAGGAAATGAGTCTATTTTTTTTATCAGATTTTTTCTTTTTTTTTGAGTGAATGAAGTCTAAGAAGAGATGATTATAGAAGAGTAAATTCCATTGATCTACCTTGCATAGCTAGCAAGTCAGATTTTTTTTTTTGTATCCCTAGGCTGCCTCTACAGCCACAGTCCGGGACCTCCAATTTTTTTTCCCGTTATAATTTATTTTTAAAAAGTATGTTGCCTTTTGTGGCCAATTTTTTTTAATGACCAGCAAG